CTATTTTCCCCCCATAAACACCACTGCCATTGAAGTTAATGTTAATTCATGTACAGCTTTCAAGTTTTCAAACACTAGTAAATTATATAGATGGACTGTTTTTTCACATAAATCCTCGTTGGGACATTGACATCCAAAGGGGCGTCTGTTTCTTTGCCTTTGTTAAACATTGGATTTATTAAAGCACGGTCAGAAAATGAATCTTTGATCACTCTGGACTCTGAAATGTTTTTATAGAGTGTTCGATGGTGCGTGAATATCTAAAAGTTATGGAGCAATGTTTGGATAGTTGCCGTGAATAGTCAGCATGTGCCCCACATCTTCTCCGAAACTGGTCCATGCATGCGTGGATCCAGGCCAAAGTGAGAGACTCCGTCTGGCTCTGCGTTTGTTTTCCTGTGATTTGTTTTCATCTGCACCTGGATGAGTAGTGCGGCATCGGTGTGGGACCCCAATCAGCTTCTCCACCGTCTGATAGAAAGGGAGCTCTGCTAAGCCTTTAAGCCGCTTTAAACCCCTGAACTCCAATTTATTAGGGGAAAAAAAAAACAACAGTGGCCGCTCTGTGAATAAAACCTGCCTTTAAACCCAAAAGTCGGTGGAGAGAAACGTAAACCAAGCGCCAACGTTTATCTTTTCTCATGTCTGTCTGATTCTCACCTGGATATTAAATGGCCTCGGATAAAAATGACAAAAATGTCAGAGCATTTTAGTTTTCATTTCAGAGTTCCATGAATTTAGATCTGGCAGTTTTACTTCATTATTGGCTCACAAATGGGAAAGAATTTATGCATCCAAAATAAAAAATAACACATTGATTCCCTAGTCTGTTGAAAAAACTTTAAGCAAACTGATTTAGCAGAGACATCTTAAAGGAGATTAGAGCAAGTGTTACGTCTTATAGTTATTTCTTTTCTATAAAATGGGCTTGCAGCCATATGTTTTTTCCTTTTTTTTCATGCCGCTGATCTTTTGATTGACTAATGCACTAACAGGGTGATGCATGCCCCGGCTAATAAACAAGCCCTGGAACTGCGTGACTCCTAATGTGATTGGCGTTAGCTTGCATTACCGTTACCTGTCCTTGTGTAAGTTGCCATGCCGGCGCTGCCAGAAGTCGCTGCTCTGTATTTATAGCCGGGCTTCTTAGTGTCTGTCCTTGTTAAGCAGAGATGTCTGTGGACATACTCTTTTCCGGCTGGATTAAGCCTGAGTCGGCGCAGGGCTGCGTCTTTAACATCCAGGGAGGCGAGAAGTTCTGCTTCTTCTTGTCTGCACTTGCACAGCTTCTTTTAATTTTATATTTAAAGGCCTGCCGATCCAGGTTGTAAAAACAAAGGGGCGGATCTGTAATTTAAGACTTCACGCTGAATTGGTGATCACAGTGGATAAACGGGGGAAGATCTGTGAAGGGGGACTTTTGCCATGTAGCTCTTGGGAAGAGGAAACCCTGAGAGTGTGGGGGGCACAATGGGAGCAGTGCTGAGCTGGTTTTCTACTCACATTTGTGCCCTTGTGCTGAACACAGCAGACTCACTGAAGCTGTTGAGAGTGAGTATAAAGTGACCGAAAGAATGAGCGTGTTTGTGTGTGTGTGTACAGACGGGAAACAATCAGTTTCCTCAGGTACTGAATTCAAATAGGGGAATTTGGGATAATGGATTGTATCTGCTCTGTTGTGAGTCAGTAATAACTGGTAATAGTGTGTTTTTGTGAGTGTCCATGTGTGCGCACGTGTATGTAGGTTTGCATAAATAAGGTTTGCAGATTGCTGTTGGGGTTTTTTGAGGCTCTAGAAGGGAGCAGCGCGATCTTACCCATGTCTTGGAAACGGGGCTATTTTCTTCCTTCTTACAGAGCTGGATTGCAACATTTATAGCATCTCTTAAATACTTTGCCTAACAGTCTGGCTGAGGGTGATCCTTAATGTTGTCCAGATTATGTGAAGGTTGAAATGGAAAACCATATTGAACAGGTTTTCATGTTCGGTACATTTGATGTAATAAATACGTTCTGCCTTTTACTTATCTGAATTTTCCTAATATATTATATATTATCCTAATAACACATATTTGTATGGTTTCCTGTTTCCAGTGTTGTGTGTGTTGATGGTCATGCAGTCCAACACAAACACACATGACATTGGCCATTGATGAGCCACTATGTAACTTTATATGAAGCATATTATGCCATATTTTTATTGTAAATCACAATTCATGCTTTCTTTTTACCCTCATTAAAACAAAGCTCCTTAGACGAGGCCAGAGATATGTCAGCTGCTAAGCAAAGATGGAGTGATAGACTATCTATTCAACTTATCCTGATAAAACCAGCCAACCACATCAGTTTGAACCAAAATGAATGAAGTGCCAAAGAGAAAAAAGAAAAAAGAAAAGGAAACGGAAAAAGTATTATAGACTGAAGTAAACCCTCTTTGAAGCACATTTCCCTCATGAACAAAGCCTTAAATGGGCCCAGTTAAGTTTAAATAGCCTGAAGACGAGTAGTATTTACATAAAAAGCCTTGTGTTGACTCTTACTGGAACACGACCCGTATAAAAAGTTGGTCAAACTTAGTTTTGAAAGGTTCTAAAGCTGAGATGTGACACACAATGTTCAGTACTGCTGAAAAAATACACAACTGGGGTCGTCACTCTTGCAGATGTAATGAAAACAAGAAAAATAAAGGCTGCTCAAAGGTTGAGACAGAATAAAAAAGAAATTGAATTAATAACATATGCTGAAACAAATGGTCACTGTATAGAATATTTTACACCATGTTTGGGTTTGGGTTATTCGGTTATATGGGACTTACTATCCCTGACATACAAAAAATATGAGCTCCCTACGTTATTTTTAGTTTTTACCAGGGCCCTAAGATCCTTTATTTCTCTGTATGTCTTCATTTTTGTTACTTTCACAAATGCAAAGCATAGAGCAGATATAAAAGCACACGTACTCCTCTAACTTTTGTTAGTGTGTTTATGTTAGTATAGTGAAAAGTTCCGATCAAAATGAAGAGGAGGCTAGAACTCATGGGTTATTTTATACCCGTTATGAATAGAAGCCTGAATGCAGTGAAATATTCCAAAAATGCTTGAAATGAACACTGGGTGAGGGAGTCAGGATTTTTTTTTTCTGGAGATGTGGCATTCAAAGGGATTTTTGCTTATTTAGCATACTAGTTATTGGACAAGGCTTCAGAAGCTATATAGGATGTTATAATCTATAATACATATGTTTAAATAGTAATGCACTAAATACCTTGTGTTGTTTTTTTATTTCCATCTTTTTCTGCACAGCACCAGGAAGCCCTTGAAGATTCCCCCAGCCCCTCCGAAGGATTAATAATAGAGAAGACAGATTTTGCTGCTGACTCCTTGGAGTGGTGCGAACAAAGCACAGAGGGATGCGACTCATGCTATGAGGTTTTTGAATCCTCGAGGCACACCAGCGCTCTGTCAGAACTGAATGGAGACGGAGAAAACTCTCGGGAGGCTCTGTTGGGATCAGAGGACGCCTCCTTTGGCTGGAAAGTAACCGAGGGCGGCTTCTGTTCAGCGCTCACAAAGACCCGAAGGAGGGAGTCTGTGTCAGCCAAGGATGGCCCCAGAGAAACAAAAGAGGCTTATGCTGGCCAGTGCAGCGGTGGCCGGAGGAAAAGTCCCGAGAGCTACGCGGACCCCGGCGCTTCCCTGAAACTCTGTACCAGAGATTCATGCCCAGCTGAAATCCCGGCGTGTGCATGGAACCCGAAAACCGACTTTCGCCAACAGCCGTCGAGTTCACCGGGGGCGTTGAACCAAACTCAGGTCGAGAGCCGCACGGAGCCGTGCAATGTTCCCAAAAGCCGACACGACACAAACACCTTTGAGGCGAAGGTAAAGGCTCCCGCAGACACTCGAGCACTGAAGGGGCACGTGCAACTCGGCGAACCCGCAGTCTCAGAAACTTGCGTCGTACATATCGACGGCCCGGTTGTGGGAACACGCCCACAACAATGCGCACATAAACACAACACATGGCCCCTGACAAAAAGTACAGATACAGAAAGCCAAAAGACAAAACGTGAAGGAACATTCGAAAGCTACGATGCCCTTGACGGAGATGTACACACCCGTGAGCTGCTTAGCACTCGCTCTGAAAAGAGAGACGCAGTTTTAAAAAGCTGCGACAGTTTCTGTGGGGCGACACGTGAAAAACATTCGGAGGCTTTAGCCAAGGATGAAGAGGACTCCAACGAGAATTTAAGCACGTCCTATAGAACAGGTCACAGAGTGGAGAGTAAATGTAAGGCTAGCGCACATATAGATGTTCCAGACCTCACAGATGCAGTAAAATGTAACACAAATGTAGAATACACAGACTATGGATTGACTGCAAAGAACACAAAGCCAGAGTTCAGAGCCACATCCGAGGCGGTGGCCAGCGCACTGGCGCAGGAGGTGGATTGTTACCGCTCACAATCCGAGCGTAAAGAAAGCAGTGACAGAGGATTACCGGCGGTCCCACCAGCCATAGGAAGTTCTGAGGAAAAGGCATGCGTGCGAGACGTCTGCTTCCAGAAGAACGGACCTACCGCAACAGAAGAAACCAAATCACCTTGGCTACTGAACGAAATCTGTACTGCTGTCTCTTTTTCCCAAAAGACAGGAGTCTATTTTCCTTTGAACACGCGTGTCACCGAGTTGACCGCTGATCCAAAACTTCCCTCGCCTCTTCTGCCAGAACAATCAGACGGGAAGGGGTTCATTCAGAGGCCACCTGACCCAAATAAGCCTCTGAGCACAAGTCCACAATCTTGCCTTATAGCAGGTCTAACCCAACGTTTAAGCCCAAATTTCTTGGATGTGGAACCTCTTTCGGAGCAAATACATCCAAGGACTGAATCAATTCACTTCCATTCTGACTCTGGAAGGGGGTGTGAGGAACGTCCCTTTTATAACCCTCTCTTGGATAATCAAGCATTGCTTTCTGACCATCAAGGAACACATCATTTCCCCCCTCCATTAACAGGCAATCTCAGTGAAGGCCAGACATGGGTAGGATTGCCCTGCTCCCCTCCACAGCCTAAAGAGGAATGGAAGAGGGAGGATGGTCGTGTTTATCCTGACCAGGAGAAAGCTGTGGACACAGTAAGTACAGACCATCTTTGGAAGTCAAAACTTGACTCAGAAGAACTTCTGGAAAGCAGAAGGCTGACGGTTTTCAAAGAAATAACTGGAGATCCTGATGCTTATTTAGCTGAGCCTTTGACTTACAAGAGGGACGGGATGTCAACAGTTTATGTTTCTACAAAGGAAACTCATGACTACAATTTACTTCAGCAAACAGAAAACCATGTCAGCACAGATAGTCAGCAGGTGGAGCTAAAGGTTGAGATACCTGAACCCCCCCATAGGCTAAAATCCTCCCTCTCCCTGTCAGACTCAAACAATAATTCCAAGACCATCAAAAAAGAGGCGTTGACCGAGACAAGTGTAGATGACTGTTCCTCAGGGGAAGTTCAGAACAACTGCAAAGGTTATGGGAAAATAGTTTACCCTCTTGTCGAGTCAGCTAAAGATGTGAGCCTGAACAGTTTGGAAAATGTAGTCAAGCCCCAGGAAGATTCACAGATTGTTGACCACAGACCCTGTTGGGACAGTCAAGAACTAGGATCCACGATAGGAAAAGTCGTAAGCACAGCTCAAGTAGACAGCCTGCAAAAACTGTCGGAACAGAAGTGCATAGAGGCCGGTATTGTTTTAGAAAGTCAAAACAGGGGTAGCCTAGTGTCAACTTCTAGAGTGGATAGTGAAGAAGAGAGGCACAATTTCAACCAAATAGTGGATGATAGCTTACCTTACACAATAGGCGACTTTTCAGAGGACTGTTTTTATGAGTTAAGAGAAAACAGAGTTTCACATGAAGAAATTAAGCTAGCAAGGAAGTCCTATCCTAATAACAGCCACAAACTAGCTGCTGGTAATAGTTTGGTTCCAATACTGGAGGCAGATTGTTCATTGGAAGAAGTATTGGCCAGTAGCACAATGGATAAAAGGGAAGAAGAAGATACCATAAGTCCTTCAGAGGGGAGGGTTTTACATGAGGATATCGTCAACGTTTCAGGGGACATCTCCTGTTCTAAGCTTTCACACCAGCAGATTGGGCAGGATTTTCAATCTTTAATCACAAGTGAGTTGGAATCTGATGTAAACCCAGTATTGTCTTCCCTTTGTAGTGATAGTAACCCCATTACTGATGCCTATGATCCAGTGTCCTTCACCACAGCTCGGAGCAACTGCACTGAGACGAAGGAACCGCCATTTTCCATTTCAGCTAGTAACAGCAGCCCTGAAAAACTAGCTAGAAGTGACAGATCAAAAAGCATTCTGACAGGTGATAAGGCCTCCAGGTTTTCAATGTTTGCTAAAATTCCCTCTTTTAGAAGGGTGACGGTTTCAAAAGCAGCAAAAAGTGAGGACACACCACTTCCTTCGTCAGACTGTGGTGAGGTGTTTCTGTCTGAGCAGGGGCCACAGTGGGACCACTCAGACGATGAGGTTTTTGTCAAAGATGATGTCCCATACCTGTCCGGCCACCCGGCGCCATATCCTGTGTGCAACGGGATTAAACAAGAGGACAGTGGCTCCGTCTCCTCATCTCCCAAAACTTATCACGTCCGTCAGATCGTAAACCATGGAGAAAGTTGTGAGTGTGAGGGAGACCTGAGCTCAGACAACCTCTTGAGGCAAATGCAGTCATCTGATGTTCAGAGTTACAAAAGAAGCAAAAGCAATGACAGTTTGAACATCTGCATGCGCTTCGCACAGGTACACAAGTCCCTCTCTAGCCTTTTTGAGTCCTTTTCCCTGGATAAGGAGAATAATAAGCAGACCGCTGTGAGCATTGACATGTATTCTGGTAAAGTCAGTCAATCTTGGAGGAAGCTGAAAAAAAACTTGGAGCCCGAGCTGCTGAAAAGGACTCTTTCAGCACCCGAGGGTGAAGGAAGCAAAGGTGCTTCGGAGCACCATCAGGGGGGCTTGAACTCCTCCCCACTCACCAGCTCAGGGTCACCATCCATTTTCAGAACCCTTCGCCACACTGACCCTATCTCTAAGAGGCAAGTTCCAACAAGGAGCAGAAGCGAGAACCCCCACGGATGTAAATCTGAAGGGCCCACAAGAAAATGTCCACCAAATGGTCAAGCTGCCATCCTGGGTCTGTCCTGCCGATCTCTAATATCAGATGACGGCACGATCCAAAATCCTAATTACACAAAGCCTGTTTCGCCGATCAGCCCCTACTTATCAGCCAGAAGTAGTAGTCAGAATTTGCCCTCTTTTTCCAGCTCCCAGACTCTAGCCGGTGAGGGAACACCTGGGCCCCCGCTTAGGCCAATGAGCCCTAAACCTAACAGTCCTCTCTCAACAGCCCAGCGCAGAATTTTTCATTATCCTTTCACAACGAGGGTCAGGTCTCTGTCTTCTGTCCTCCGGGGCCAGGCGATCAGTGTGGAGGGACTGACACACACCCCTGAGCGGCCAAAGACCCTGAGACCCTCTGCTGGCCCTCTGGGTCTTGGTTTTAGTCTTCTGGATGCAGCACAAGGCAGATTAGACAGTCAATTACACATCAGCCTCTATGACACTGGCTCCATCAATGAGTTGGAGGTAAGAAAAAATAGTTTGTCGTGCAAACTAATATACATTAACTACTATACACATATGCACAAACACACACATATGTGTATATATGCATGCATAGTACGTGGATGTGTAATTACAGAAATGTTTTGAAATGATCACCAGGCTCAAAAGGAAGACTTTCGTCTCCTCGACAAAAGAATCACAAAACGTTTGCTTCACTTTCAACTTATTTAGAAAATCGATATAAATCATTATATTAATGTATATGCACCCATTTTTGGAGGCTCGCCGTCGTGAAAAAAAATAAATTAGCATAATCAGAGTTTTTAGTGTTTTTTTTTTTGAAGGACTGACACCAAGAATAAATTAAAAACTGGAAAATCACATAGCGTTTTTTTTAAACAAATCCTTGCCTCCATTTCTGCTCCTGTTATTTGACAGTGGATGCTTTCAAACTGTTCAAACTTGAACAACCTGAGCGTGTAGACTATCAGCACCACTCTGTTGATGGAGCAATGAGAGACGGCAGTTAACTGCCACCTCCTCACCTTTGCAAAAGATATCCTAATTTAATTGCGCAACCGACTATACAAGATAGTTACATCTATTTTTATAGTTTCAGCTGTTTTTTCTAAACTTATTATTCTTCTATTCCTGTGTGCAAAATACTGTATACACCCAAATATGGGTAATTTACAATATCAGGCTGTACAAACTAGTTGTTACTTATGTGAAATAATGTGGATTTGAATAGAGCGGTGTTTCTTTTAAACATGACTGTGATAGATGCGCTTTAAATATCTAAAAAAAAAAAGAAAAAAAAAGTCCCGGAAAATATTCAAGGCTGTAGCCCTAATATCGGTGAACATTCCCCAAATTCTCTTTAAAACTTTCTACAAATTATTTATTTTTCTGTACATTCGCTTAGTGTCTTTTAAAAGACAAAAGCAACGACCAGACTATTAAACGGCTTCAAAAACATGAAAAACCCAGACTGTACTCAGACCTGTGCATGAGCGTATCATTGCTCACAGCTTTGGAGGCACGTAGGTGAAGATTTATATAACTGAAGAAAATAATCCTTAGGAATGTGAGAATCTTTGTAGTCACTCAGTTTCAATTTAAAATCTACGGAAAATGAATGCTCCTCACCTATGAAGTTAGATCAGCATCACTACCTTTCCTAACCTAGACTAATGTTGAAGTTCTATGTGATTGAATTTAAAAAAAGGACGTCCAAATGGTCACAAACTAAATTAAAGTGTCTAGCAGTTTACTTTGGGGGTAAAAAGGGGGAAGTAATTTAGGGAATGTGACTAACCGGTTAACTGTGCACTCAAAAGGTTACACAGAATGAGGGACGATGTGCCGGCCTCTCCGGAGTGAGAGAGCAGACGGAGGTGAAGAACAAGCAGAAAGCCTCTGGGTTTCGTGGCGGGAGACATTGCTACCGGGCGGATTTGGACCCTGACGAATTTTACCAGCAGCGAAGACACAAGTGTTTGGACGACCTCTGGATCGAGCAGCAAAAGAAATATAAGAGCAAACTGGCCGGAGGCACCAGAGGCAGCATGGACCAACTGGACAGGCTGTTACCTGAGAGGACCGACAAAGTAAGAAGTGACCACTCGGGCTGCCGGCCGCCCGGCCACACACCACAGCCTCCGGAATCTTTATCCTCCTCATGTCTTTTCTCCTTTTACCTCGCTTCTTACTGTCTCTTCCTCCTGGACAATTTCCTCACTTTGACGGCCTCTTGCTGCTTTCTTGGAAGTAACATCTGGACATCTGGGTCCTGCTTTCTGCATCCTTCATGAACTACTTACCCGATCCGTTTCTCAGTACTTTACACGTTTCCGTTTATTCTGCTTTGTTTGATTTGGAAACCATTGGTGTTGACTACATGATTTTTCTGTTCCATCGGTAGACGGTGTTCTATCAATATGTTTATAGATGCTCTCCATGTCCACAGACGGACGCCGGACTCCCGTTGGAGCAGATGGAGGCCTTCCGGGGGATGCCCCTCATGAGCCACTGCTTCTCTCACAGCACCCCTATTGGTCTTGACTGCCTTGGCTGGAGAAGAGGCATATTCTGTGAGTACCTGTGTTATCTTCTGTGCGTTAGAGGCTATTTTCAACTCGCTATTGTAGAGGTTCTGCTGCAGAGCCGCTGAGCCATGACTTTAAAAACTGAAGCATAGCCACTTGTGGAACGGGACGTCTGTAATGGAACCCTACTGCACACTTACATCATCCAGATGTGTGAGAGGGGTTGACATTTTTGGTGAGATTTTCCTTCCCTTTAGGGCTTTATTTGGGCCTTTCTATTCACTTGTGTGAAGAAACCAAGAAGTAAAGCCTCACAATAGATTTTTTTGAATGACTTCAATGTAGAATGAATACACCACATATATAATCAAACAATATACACCAATAGAATGTTTTCTTAAGTAGGAATATCTTTTAATATTTAATAAGAAACATTGTAAAATGAAAAAATCCTGTCATTTTATCTGACTGCGCTCCTTAGAGCTGGTGCCATCTGCTGGATGATAATGTTCAGACTCACACAGCAAAAGAAGTGAACGTGTCACACTAATCGCACGCCAGCAGTGGAGATTACATTTATGGACTGAGTCACCCATTCTGAACATAAACAAAAATCTCTGATTTGTTTAGGAGCAGCAATAGAAAATAAATGAATACACAAACAAATGCTGCCCGAGGAGTAAATTAAAACAACAATAGGTCTCAGCATAAAGGGATTAAACTAATTATCACTATTTATTTATTTATTTATTTATTTATTTATTTATTTATTTATTTAT